TACAAGTCACTGCTGATAAAAGTTTAAATTGTATTTAATATTTGCTACTTAAACACAAATACCACAGGTGGACCTTATTATTCAAGAGCACGCCCTTTCCATTTTTGTTTGCATTTCCCTCAGGATCAAACCTACATTACCAACTAACTCAATAAACTAAAACCTCTTGCTTTATCAGCTGAAGTGCGTAATGCCTGCAAAGATATCACTTATTCTTTTGTTAAATTGGCAGAATGTGAAAACAGATGGTACTGGTCTCCTATTTCTGTCCACAGAGAGTGGTAAATATCAGTTGATGACGCATGAGAGATACGCGACTAAAAGGATAGAAACTAATTCCTATGGGTGTGAAAGCAATTCTGTAAGGAGGAAACCATTAGTAATTCTAAGCTTTTTTCAGCAACCAGGCTGGTAAAACCCTGATAGTTTGCGTTATCATATCAGGCACAGTCTTAAAAACAGAAATGGATGGTCTCTAGACTAAGGCAAAGCCAGATTTCATCTTTTAAAAAGATCATTGGTGGGCAGGCCCTGTGGCTTAGCGGTTAAGTGCGCGCGCTCTGCTACTGGAGGCCTGGGTTCCGATCCCGGCGCACACCGAGGCACCACTTGTCCAGCAATGCTGAGGCCGCGTCCCACATACAGCAACTGGAAGGATGTGCAACTACAACATACAACTATCTACTGGGGCTTTGGGGGAAAAAAAAGAAGGAGGATTGCCAATAGATATTAGCTCAGAGCCGGTCTTCCTCAGCAAAAAGAGGAGGATTAGCATGGATGTTAGCTCAGGGCTGATATTCCTCACAAAAAAAAAGAAAAAAAAAGATCATTGGCATCCTTCCTATCTCCTTCCCTATATCCATCCTCAATGGGGGAGACTTGGGAGGTGGGGAAGAACAGGGAGTGGCCTGGATAATGTGTGGCTGCAGAAAATTAGACATATAGAAGTGTTTGTTTCCTGGAACTGTAGGAAGAGCAGGCATGAGGAGAATATAGGAATGTAGGGAGCTTGCAGAGTCGAAGAGGATGGGTTTGGGAAGGTCTGTAAGTTCTGAGCAGAGATCCCAAATGAGGAGGCAGGAAAGACTTCTGAATTATGGAGAAATGAACTGCAAATGCGTTAAGCAAATAAACTGAAGATCTTGCCTGAAAAACTGACTGGGATGCTGCCCACAGCTGGCTTTTACCTGCTTTCCAGCGTGTAGAGGCTACCTCATTGCAAGAGGGGGGGATTGGTGAAGCCTTTCCTTTTATGGCACAACATAAATTTAAAGTTTACCCAAACACCACCAAAACATGTAAAAATACGAGCAGAGAGAGGGGAAAAAAGCCCAAGGTCTTCATTGGACGAATAGTTACATAATTTCACAGAAAAGATACATACATATTAAATATAAGTAAGAAGTCTTGTTTTATGTAATATATGTCCTCTGACTGAAATTCCTCTTCTGTACTAAACCATTAACAACAAATCTTTTCACTACGTAATTGATTGCCTAAAGCACAAAGTCGGGTTAAATTCATCTGCTCCAAGAGACCACATCCTCCTGTACATATCAAATCATGGCACTTGCCATATGGTATTAAATTTACTGTCACCCTTCCTCCCTAAGCTCCATGCACATGGGTTCTTCATCTTTATATCCACAGTGCCTCTTACATGACCTGGCACAAGATACACACTCAATAAACATTTTTGGTATTAGATGGAACTGAGTTACTCCTTCCTCCAGGATTCTGTTAATGTGCAAATGCTTTTGGAAGAGGTAGCACATTAAGTCAGGCTTATCCCTAACATTTGCAGATGCAAGAGCACAAATGGAGGCCCACATACCATAGGCCTAAATATTTACAATTCATAAATCAAGCTAGCAAACTGTTAAGTAAATGTGTTCTATCTTCCTACCTTAGTAAAGATACTCTTTTTTTAATTAATTAATTTTTTTGGTGGGGAGGAAGATTAGCCCTGAGCTAACATCTTTTGCCACTCCTCCTCTTTTTTGCTGAGGAAGACTGGCCCTGGGCTAACATCCATGCCCATCTTCCTCTACTCTACACGCGGGACGCCTGCCACAGCATGGCTTGATAAATGGTGCATAGGTCCACGCCCAGGATCCGAACCTGCAAATCCCAGGCCGCCGAAGTGGAGCGCGCGAACTTAACCACTACGCCACCGGGCCTGTCCCCAATAAAGATATTTTTATATCAACATCATAAAAAAATTATGTAACAGTTATTTTTTAATATGCTAAAGCTGGCAATATATCAAAGAACACAATTTAATTAATAGGCATATTTGGATGTTTGGCTTGGACTGGCAATGTGTGGGTTTTCAAAGAAAGATAAATTCATAAATTATTATATTTTCTTTCAGAAGATGTATATTCTCATCCTTATTTCAGCAAAATTACTAATTATGCAGATATAATAAAAGTTTTCAGATATTTTGTATTCTATTTACAGTGGTGCCAAATAATATAATCTTTCCTGTCACATGATGTCTGCTCTTTAATTTTTTCCTGTTTTAAAAAATTTAAGCACACCTTCTCTTTGAACTTTTTTCTATTTCTTTTCAGCCTTTTTTCTTTTCTGAGATCCACTTACATTTTTTTCTATCCAATCTCAGTTTATACACATTCTTAATATTTAAAGCATTAAAAATAAAATGTTATTGTATTCAAAAGGGACATGATTTGAATGTATATTTACAAAAAGATGTAATTTAAAGTAAACTATAAACACAAAAGTTAAAATTTTAAATTATTTCCATATGTGTTTTCAGATATAGTTCCTATACAGTTTTCAGAAAGTTTTTGTCTTCTAAAATATTCAAAAATATTAAAGTGATGACAAAATGCAAATTATTTTATATAAACTTTTGTGTAAATCATTTGAATAAAGCTAAAGTTTAATTAGTTAAATTTCATAGGTCTAAATTTCAAAAATAAAACTATTGACAATTCTAGCATTCAACAGCCATCTAATTGGCAAAGAATCAATATCAGGCTTCATGTATATTACATCTAGAAGTGCACGTGTACAAACTTGGAGAGTAATGTGAATTGTTTAATAGTCAAAATACTCCCCAGCCATCATGTGCACCTGTTTTGCATATTGCATAGGTTCATGAGTGCCTTCAAAAGCATGAATTAGAACCAAAGAAAATGGGTGCCTCATAATGCTTGAAAATAATACTTTATTATGCAATAATTTATTGCATTTATGCTATCCAAGAAAGAACCTGCTGAGTTAATTTGTTTGCCCTGTCTCTTTCCTAAATGCTTCTATAGCTCAAATTCCTTCCCATACTCCAAAGCAGTACCTGTTTCTGTTGTCAGCAACGGCAGTCTGCAGACCTTGATAGCACTTGGACACAGTCATCTTTTATTTCTAGGATATAGAACAAAAGACAGTCCAAAGTGTTTCTCTGGGGCTTAGAGGGTGTTAATCATAAGAGCAGGTGATGTTTGTCAAGACAGAAAATGTTTAGCATTCTGGCTTTCTCTGTGCCAGCACCAAGTGTGGGATCCCAAGTGACAGAGGAGTCCACAGGGTACTTAGTTTTTGAGTTTCTATTTGTGATAGGTGGAGCCCTCTAATGTGTTGAGTCCTATGGCAAGGGTTTTCCCTTGTCTGGGTTTCAGGGTAGTATTGCATGAAATTCCTACCTATGAGTTTATCAAATAAATGTTTCCTCTAAAGGTGTGGAGGGATACTAGACATCTGAAGGGAGAGGGGTGGGGGGAGAACCAGCACTGAAAGAAGGAAAGGGTGCAATGAATTTGAAGGAGCTGAAGCAAAACACTCAGTTCATAATTTTGTTTGAGTTTGGTCTAGAAGCATTAGTTTATTACTCTTGTTTCTGTGTGTATGTTCTTTCTTTTTCGTGGTTCTACAAATTGTCTTGAATTAATTATTGTTTAGATTATTTGAAAATGTTCGATTTGGGGGTATGTTGCCACTTGTGTTTGTCATTGGGATTTAAGTTCCTCTATAGATAGGTTTTGGAATGCAAGGATGCCCTCAATTTGTTTATAACAATTTAATTGCTTCGATTAGTATTAGCCTGGAATGTAAAGTATGAGATGTTTCTACTGGAAATCAAGCCCTTAGCTTGAAGGAGAGTCACAGATCTCAACTAGAACTTCTCAGAGGGCACTTTCAACTGAACATAGTTAGGGACATTTTGGTTTTGGTTGTGTCTATACTTGTAGCCAGAATTGGCCAAGATATTAATATTGGAGGGAGGGAGAGAAAAACATGTCCAGTAACATTATTATTTATCTCTATTCCCCAGTACTATAAGTCCAGATCAAAATAACAGTTTTAAGTTATACTTTTTGAGCAAGAGAGAAAAAAATGCCACATATTAGAAAATTCTGCTAAAGAAGAGTCAAAAACCACGGGGTGCTAAATAATTTTCACTGAACTTAAAAGGCAAAGAAAAAAGTCATCTGGCTTAGAAATTAGATATACCTCTCCGGCTTAGAAATTAGATATACCTCTCCTTTTCAACTATCTCAATTCTTTAAGTGTTAAATATCCAAGCCAGAAACGTGATCTACTCATTCACATTTCCAGTTTTAATCAGGAATTATGCCTCCTAGTTTGATTCATGTTTTTACCATGCTTAAAGTTTTAATTCTTTCTGGCACTTTGCATCAGGCTATGAGTGGTCAAACTATGAAAGTTTACAGATAAATAGAAAAATTTTAGTATGTTATTACTCTGTCACTGCATCAGAAGTCTCACCTATTTTAGTAAGGCACATTAGAACACTCAAGTTATTTCACATTACTGCTTGACCTACTCTATGTAGGACCTATGATGATTTTTGCATTTTGTAAAATTTCAGGTCTGTCTTTAACAATTCACTTTTCCTTTACTGCAAATACACTATTTTCTTCCTTTTTGAAATCCTGATATTAAAAGTAGATTGGAACGCAGCAGCATTGTTGGCAAACCAAACTTTATTAAATGTTTGATTTTATCTGTTATAGAACATGAAAAGCAGCGGTTATGCAAGAGCACCGATTATATGAATTTGCATTTCAAAGTGAAATGGTTTTATAATGAATATATGCGAGAACTTCCTGCCTTCAAGGATGCTGTTCCTGAATACTCCTTGTAAGTAGCGATTTTCACCCCCAAGTTTGTTCTCAATTCATAGTCCTATAAAATTACACCTGAATTATGCAGCCCTAAAATCTCTTCACAGAATCTTCATTTAAATGCAGACATTTATATTATGAAATTAACATTAAATGATTTGCGTGTCTTTAGGAACCATGTTTAATTGAATTGTGTTGCATTTTTCAAATATGCTTTACTTGGATATTCAACTCAAAGAGAAAGAAATACGTGATAGGATATAGCCTACACGATGAAATTATCTCCTGTAAAGTACTTGAACTCAGATTTTGTTGTGAAAATGTGAGTGCTTGTATATTGATCTATATAATCAGATTTTCCCTTTAATTCAAACTGAAAAATGTCTTAGAAATTCACATTTCTGAAATAGAAGTAATTATTAAACAAATAACTTTCTCATAAATATGTCTATCAAATATATTTGTAATAACACAATCAGACATGTAATACTCTGCAGTGGATATTTATTAGAATTCTATTTTATTCTATTGAGGAGGGTCTTCTATATGCCAGGCACCATGCCGAGTACTGAAGGACAATGGTAAATAAGATAAAGACCTCGCTCAGAAAGCAGCTTATACTCTAGGAGGTATAGATAAGTACTAAAATCATGATAAAGCAAGGCAATGTGAAATAAGTGCTAATTCAAGGAGCACAGGCAAAGTGCAATGGAGTCTCACAGAAGAGAGACATTACCCTTATTTGGGTGACTCTAAACAATATTTACGAATGTGGGTAGCATTTGACGTAGAGTTTGAAAATTTCAGGTTATGGCAAGAAAAGAAAGAACAGCATTAAGATGGAAAGGAAAATTATGAACATAAGTATGGAGGTAGGAATGTGTAGACTATGATTCATGGGAAATAGTGTCTTTCCAGTGGGGTATAGGGTATTTTTACAAAATGAGTAGAAAGTAATATAGGAAAAGTAGTTTTGAACTAGATTGTTGTAAATAAATGCCATGAAGCTTGTACCACATTCATTAGGCATTGTGGAGGTTCAAAGAGGCAGAGAATGGGGGACAGGGAAGAGATGTAGACGGTAGTAAGTAATGTAATGATGAGATTAGAACTGCCCTTTAATAAAACTTTTCTCAAAGAAGTTTATAAGATAGAATGGGATACTGGGACAAGTTAAAAGGCTGTACAAATAATAGAGTGATTGTACTAAGAATCAAAGGATGAAGAGGTGTGGGAGAGAAATTTCAAAGATCGAATTTACAGAATTTGTCAACTAAGTACCCATGTGGATTAAAGAAAGAGGGAAGAGTTAAACATGAAGTATGTGTGCCTAAGCAGTTGCTGGTATCATTGAGTGGGAATAGGGAAGTAAAAAAGAGGACCTATTTGCCAGAAAGTCCTGCTTCTGGCTCTGTCTAGACTAAGTAAACTACCCTAACTAAAATCAGACTAACATGCCCGCTGAAGACCAGCTATAAAAGCTGAATGAAATTAAACAGCATCAGAGACTAATCAAGGCAACCAGGAATTGAGAAGCTAAGGTCCTTGAGAAAAGAGAAATGCATTGAGGTGAACCCTGTATTTGCTGCCGTGTCTCCCCCGACCCCTCCTCCCCCATGCATTTGCCAATTTGCAATACAGGTCATGGTGGCCAAATAGCGAAGAGTAGCCCAGAGCTTATAGCAATCTTCCCGGGCTGGAGAAACAAACATTGGTGTTGAGGGCTATGAAAGCTGCTTGGACTTGTGGGACCAAGATCCTAGAGAAGAGAGAACTACGGAGAAGTAAGCACAGACAGCACCCTGTATGCAGTTTCTCCTTGAGGTATTTTCTGATTCCTAATCTGCCCATGTGTGGATGGTGAGACAGAAATAAACAAGTAGAAAGCAGGTACTAAGAGATTAAAAACTAAGTAGAGACTTCAGCAGTCTCACAATGCTAGGGAGACAAAAATTAGAGGTCAAGGCGTTCTAAGAAAGGAGGAGCCTATAAAAACCCCAGGCTTTCAGGTAAGATCCCTGAAGGGCTCTGCTCTAGAAATAAGGACAAACTGGAAATAGGCCAGCCTAAAACCCAGCCTTGTCTAGATCCTGGTGATCTCCCTGCATTCTGTCTACAAGGAGAAATTTAGATCCTCTCTAGAGGAAATGATCAATCAAAGGTTCCACAATTTTTCATAGACAATGTATAATATTCAACAAAAAATTAAAGACTGTCAGGCAACAGGACCAAATGTCTAAAATTCAAGAGAAAAACAGATATTAGACTTATTGACATGGACTTTGATGTATACTTCAAAATGTGGGAGAATTTCAACAAAAAAATGGAATCTCTAAGAATAAAATGGACATTGTAGAACTAAAATGGGATGAAATTAAGAATGTCATAGATGAGCTTTATGACAGATTTATAATAGCAAAAGTGGGGCTAAAATAACTGGAAGATATGTTTGGAGGAAATATCCTTGTAAAAACATAGAGAAAACAAAAAAATGCAAAATAGAGAAAAAAACAGAACAAGGGATATATGGAACAAATTATTAAGTTCTAATGTACAAAGAATTGAGTCCCAGAAAAGGAGAAGAGAGAAAGACTAGTACCATAGCAATGTTCGAAAGATACTAGGTGTGGATTTTTCAAAACTGATGAAAAACATGAAACCACAATTCAAGAATTTCTATAAATCCTAGGTGGGATAAACGCAAGGAAAACTACCTGTAGGTGCATCGTAGAAAACTGCTTAAAACCAAAAAGTATTGGGGTCAAAGAAGGGAAGACACTTTCTTTGAAAGGAGCTACATAATACTGTTGGCTGATTGTTCAATAGAAGGGATTGAAACCAGAATACAATGCAATGATATCTTTTAAGTCCTGAAAGAAAACAACTAACAACTTAGAATTCTACAAGCATCAAAAATATCCTTCATGAGCCAGCCTTGGTGCCCTAGTGGTCAAGCTCAGTGCCCTCGGCTTCAACAGCCCAGGTTCGGTTCCTGGGCACGGACCTATATTGCTCTGTTAGTGGCTGTGCTGTGTTGGCAGCCCACATACTAAAAAATAGAGGAAAATTGGCATGGATGTTATCCCAGGGTGAATCTTCCTCAGCAAAAAAATAAAATAAAAAAGAATCCTTCAAAAATAAAGCAAAATAAGGACATTACATAACTGAGAAGCTGAAAGGACCCATTTCCAGCAGACCCTCACCAAAAATATATATACTACAAGTCATGCTTCACATAGAAGGAAAATGGCCTAAGGTAAAAATACAGTAATGTAGTGAAGAATAAAAAGCATTAGAAAAGGTAAACAAATGAGTATATTTAAAGATATATTAACTAATTTAAAATTAAAAAAACTAATTTCTGTAGAATAAAATATACATAGAATTAAAATACAAGAAAACAATAGCATGAAAAGGGAAAGAGCAATAAATGAAGTTATAGGTTAACTGTTAATAATATGATCCTCAAATTGTGTGGAAAGTGTAAAATACTCATTTTTAAAAGCCTCTAATATGTCAAGAATGTGTATTATAATTATAATTTATAGTGTAACCCCTTAAGGTATAATATAATACTATGCATCAATAAGATAACGGAGGGTGTGGGAGGAGAGAAAAAATTGCTTAAAAGTAAGAAGAAGATGAAAAGAATAAAGAATAAAGAGCAGGTAGAAAATTTAGGGAGGAAAAGGCAAGATAATAGATTTAAAGTTAAATATAATAGAAAATTAAGTGTAATCATTAATTGAATGTAAATGGATTAATACTCTATTCATCAAATATTGTCCAACTAGATAAAATAGTAAAATCCAAAATATCTTGCTTACAGTTTATTCACCTAAAACATAAGGGTCTAGAAAGGTTACATGAAAGGATGTAAACAATAATTGAAAGAAAACTTATGCAGCTATACTAATATTAAACAAAGTAGACTTTAATATTTTGAGAGATAGAAATATTTCTTGATGATTAAAGGAGCAATTCAACAAAAAGATACATCAGTTCTAAAGTTGTATGTATCATATAACATGTCAGCAAACTATATAAAGCAAAAATTGTCAAAAGTGAAAGGAAAAATCAAATCTACAGTTCTATTTGGAGATTACACTTCTTTCACCAACTGATTAAAGAATCAGACAAAAAGGTCCAAACAAAGAAGTTTCAACAACATGAATAACACACAGAGATATTTATCTATCCATCTATATCTATATCTGGTCATCCAGAGATTCCATAATTTTTCATAAACAATTTTTCATATTGTTTATATAAACACACACAAGGTTTCTACAATTTAGAACCAACAATGGCAAAATACACATTATCAGATGCACATGGTGCATTTACCAAAATAGACTATCTGCTGGACCATAAAGCAAGTCTAATGAATTTTAAAAGATTGAAACATACACTGTATGTTCTTGAACCACTGTAGAATTAAGCCAGAAATCAATTTGAAGAAGATAACTGGAAAATCACCAGATAAGGAAATTAAACAGAACACTCTAAATAATTCATGAGTCAAAAAGTAAATCCCAGTATAAATTACAAAATATTTGGAACAAGTGATAATAAAGTTTGGCATTTCAAAACTTGTGGATTGCAGCTAAAACAGGAAATAGAGGAAAATTTGTAGCTGTAATTCTGCATAGAGAAAGAAAAAAAGGGCATAAAATCACTAATATAAGTATCAGAATAAATTTTTAAAAAGCAAATAAAGTCAAAAGAAGTAGAAGAAAGACAAAAATAAATATGAACTGGAATAAAATTAAGTAGAAAATTTAAAATAGAAATTACAAAGCTGGGGCCGGCCCCGTAGCTTAGCGGTTAAGTGTGCATGCTTCGCTACTGGTGGCCTGGGTTCGGATCCCGGGTGCGCACCAACGCACCGCTTCTCCGGCCATGCTGAGGCGGCATCCCACATACAGCAACTAGAAGGATGTGCAGCTATGACATACAACTATCTACTGGGGCTTTGGGGAGAAAAAGGGAAAAAAAAGGAGGAGGATTGGCAATAGATGTTAGCTCAGGGACGGTCTTCCTCAGCAAAAAGAGGAGGATTGGCATGGATGTTAGCTCAGGGCTGATCTTCCTCACAAAAAAAAAAGAAAGAAATTACAATGCCAAAGTTGGTTTTTGAAAAGACAAAAAATCAGAAAAGCCTTGCAAGGCCAAGGGAAAAAAAAAGAGATGTCACAAATTATTGTTATCAGGAAAAGACATCACTAAACATACTAGAAAGATTAAAAAAATAACAAAGGAATATTTATGCCAGTACATTTAGAAAGTTAGACAAAATGTACAAATTCCTTTAAAAATAAAACTCATTAAGCTAAGCCAACATAAGAAAAAATATAAAATCTGAATGGCCCCGTAACTATTTTAAAAATTGAATCTTTAATTAAAAATCATGTCTCAAATGAAACTCCAGGCCCAGATGGCTCCAAAAACATTTAAGGAAGAATATCACTAATATTATATAAACTATTCCAGAGAAAGCAGGAATACTTCTCAAATCAGTTTTTGAGGTTAGCATATTCTCACTACTAAAACCTATTGAGAACATGGTAAATAAGAATAATTACAGGCCACTTCCTCTTATGAACATAGTTTAAAAAAATCACAAATGAAGTATTAGCCAATAGAATCCAGTGGTTTGTAAAAAGACTCGTCTTATAGATTCAACGCAATCTCATAAAAATTCCAGCAGGTTTTTTTGTGCAAATTACCAAGTTTTTCAAAAATGTGTATAAAAGCACAAAGGCCTTAAGCCCAGGTAATCTTGAAGAGGAAGTAAAAAAGCTGGGGAACTGCAATATCAGTTATCAAGACTTATTAAAGAGATATAATTATTAAAAGAATGTGGTGTTGGTGTATGACAAATAGACTAATGGAACAAAATAGCCTAGAGACAAACCCATGCATATGCTGTTACCTGATCTGCATCAAACATACCAATTCAAGGCAGTGGAGGAATGGATGGTCTTCTAAATAAATAGTGCTAGACAAATTGCACATCCATGTGGAAAAAAGAACTTTGAAACTTAACTCAGACCATTTACAAAACCCAACTGCAGATGAATTGTAGATCACAAGAAGTCAAGGTGAGTACCAGCATCAGTTATAAGAGACTAGTTGGTATGAAGCCCAATGGTAAAGCACCAAGAAATGAGAGAAAGGCATGACAGACAACACAGCCCACAAGGTCTGCATTTTACAGGATTCTGAATCGTAGAGTGAATTGTAGAGTGGGTATTGGGAACTAGGCATATCTGAGGCAGCATGAGAAGAGCCAAGAAAGAGCTAGGGACTGAAGTTAAAGGGAGGGGATACATTTGATGAAGTAAAGCTAAAGGTCTCTGAGGAAGGTGAACTGCAAAAAGGGAGTGAAAAGAGATTTTTGGACCTGAATTACTCTCATATTAGAAAAGAGCAGTGTTCACTGTTAATTATGTGCAAATGACATCTTTTATAAAATGTATTATTAATTTTTTTAGGTGGTTTGAACCTTTTGTCATGCAGTGGCTAGATGAAAATGAAGATGTGTCAATGGAGTTCCTTCATGGAGCACTGGGAAGAGACAAAAAAGATGGAGTGAGTTTAAATTACTTTAAAATTGCTTATTGTCAAGATTCATTCACACTGCTCACTTTTAGGCTAATGGGAATTGTTAGGCTCATTGTTATTAATTAAGTTTTGTTTTAATTCTCCAATGACCAAAATAAATTTAAAAGACAATTTAAAAGGGCTAGTAGGAGCCCTGAGGAATTATTTAAATTAAAAAAAAAAAAAATCCATCCCCCTTTTGCCCCAAGATTGTTTACTTCTTGAATTGGTCTGAATCTATAGATTCACTAGGCTTGTACAAAACTCTCTTGTTGTCCTGGAACCTTTCCAGGATTCCAAGATTAGGAGCAGACACCCTCCCAGCCCCTCCGGAGCAACTCAAAAGTCTTGAGTCACAATCAGCTTGCTAATCCATCATAATGCCTGTGAGGAATGAGAAATATGAAAGAACCAGTCCCTCAATTCAGCAATGGAGAAACCAATTAATAGCAGCCTATCCCATGATATTAGTTCCACTATACTTTCCAGAAAAGGAGATGCATGATTTTAAAATGGGTATTTTATTACCAGGAAATGAAGGTACATGGTATAGGAGATTCAGTTATTTATGTGAAATAATGAAGACTCTCACAGTTCCTCTAATGTGCTTATTGGGATGGTTTTGCCTTCTCTCCCCTCAGTTCCAGCAGACATCTGATCATGCCCTCTTCTCTTGTTCTGTGGTTGATGTCTTTGCTCAGCTTAATCAGAGCTTTGAGATTATTAAGAAACTGGAATGCCCTAATCCTGAAGCATTATCTCACTTAATGAGAAGATTTGCAAAGGTAGGTTAAATGGAATGAATCCTTTCTTTGCTGGGACTGTGGCATGTTATGATTTTCTTACACAGAACCTGAAAAATGCTATTGTTTTGTAGCATTAGTCCTCTGTGACACTGCTACTCCAATTTAATTTCTAATTCTAGTTCTAATAGGTTCAGTTGTTTATCTAACTTTGTTTCTGCACTTCCTGTTTCTTAAATATGAACTTATCATTTTAAAAATCTATTTTTTATTCACATTAATGACTCAGTCATTTGTAATTGAAGACACTACCATAGGTAGCCAAATTATTTCCATTCCAAATGTGGTGCTTTCTAACTGAAAATATGCCTTGGCATTTCATATTCAAATTGAAAGTATTTTTTAGCAGACACTATGGTACAATGAAAAGTATATTGGACTTGGAGTCACTGAGTTCTTTTTTTTTTTTTTTTTTTTTTTGTTTATTGCAGTAACATTGGTTTATAACATTGCAAAAATTTCAGGTGTAAGAGTCACTGAGTTCTACTTTCAAATCAGCCAGTAAATTTAGTGTAAGTCTGAGCAGTTCACTTGATATTTATGAATTTAGTTTTCTTAGTTGACAGATTGATCTTGACCAACGAGATTACTCTTAAGACCTCTTCCTCCTCTTAGAGTCTAAGAAGGCTTGCAAAGTGCTTACTACTTTGCCAAGAGTTTCAACAGAAATATAAGAAATAAAAGATGTAATCTCTGCCTTTCAAATCTTAAAAAAAAATTCCATGTAGTAATCAAGACCGCATGGCATGAACCAATTGGGGGATGACATAAAGAGGGACATAATTTGGTTAGGAACTACAGTAAGTTGTGTGGAAGGAAAACTAATGAGAACTGAAATCGACAAAGATTTAATGGGAAAAGCGGGCTCAAATAAACCTAAAAAGGTGAAGTTAGTTAGAAAAATATTCTAAGCTATGAGAATTGCAGGAACAAAGAGAGATAAAGAGCTGAGCTTGACATGTGAAAAGCAGGGAGAAACAATTCTCTGGCAAGAAAATATCTGTTGCTGGGAGAGGCAGTAGAAAAGGTTGAGAGAGTGAAGATGGGTCCAGATCTTAAAGAGCTTTGCTTTCCAGGTTAACAAGTTTAGACTTAATCTTTTGGAAAATCTAAGAAAACTTGAACATTTGGAGATTTCTAAGCAGGGTAGTGACATGACAAACATAGTAATGTAGGGGAACGACCTACACAGTCCTATGTCTGACAGCCCTAAGGACAAGTCTGGCTCCATGGGTTGGATGATGGCAAGAGGTCTCGGCTGTTCATGCAACAAGTACTTATTCATTGCCTCACTTGCACTCTTTACTAGCCATGTTGAGAAATGTAGACATAAATAAGCATAATCTCCGACCTCAAAAAACTTATAATGGAGGATCAAACCTGTAAACTATGACTAAGTTAAATGCTGTATTCAGGGCATTTCAGAGATTGAAAAAGGCCCAGAATATATATATATATATTTTATATATTTATATTTATATATATATATATTTCACATGTTAAAAAATAAGGAAATGCCAAAACTCAGTTATACTGTACAATATTTAAGACGTATTAATTTGCTAGGGCTGCCATAACACAATACCACAGATTTGGTGGCTTAAACAGCAGAAATTTATTTTCTTACAGTTCTGGAGTCTGGAAATCCAAGATCAAGGTGTCAGCACGTTTGGTTTCTTCTGAGGCCTCTCTCCTTGGCTTGCAGACAGCAGCCTTCTGACTGTGTCCTCCCATGGTCTTACCTCTGTGCACCTGCACCCCTGGTGTTTCTACACATGTCCAAATTTTCTCTTCTCATGAAGACACCAGTCAGATTGGATTGGGGACCACACTAATGGCCTAATTTTAACTAAGTCACCTCCTTAAAGGCCCAATCTCCAAATATAGTCACATTGTGAGATACTGGGGGTTAGAATTTCAGCATGTGAATTTGGGGGGAACACAATTCAGCCCATAATGGATGTATATATTTAACGTGCTACTGCTTTTAACCAAAGACACAAACACAATGAGTGTATAACTTCATTAGCTATCAAAATAGTCTAACTTTGAGGTCCTTTATGAATGGGAGAATCGAGCTTGACCCTGTCGTTGGCCCTAGCTCTTAGAAAAGTTTAAGCTTGGTTCACTGATGGATGGATTAGGAAAGGCTTCTTGCAGGAGACAGCATCTTTATTAACTGTGGTAGGATAGTTTATGCTGTGGTAACAAGTTAAGCAAACTCCATGTTTTAACACCACAAAGATTTACTTCCTGCTTATACAGTGTTGAATATGGGTTGGTTGGCCCTATAGGGTACCCTTTGTCAAAGATAAACAAAGCCAGACACTAGTTAAAGTGCTAAGGACAGATTTTCATCAGTAATATACTATTGCAATAAGGAAAAGAGTCCAGCATGAACTGGACTCAACCGTGATTTGTACAGAGGTGACTGGGTATTTTACAGGGAGAATGAGGGAGTAGGGAGGGGGTCAGGCAGAGGCTCAGTAGAGTCAGGGAAGTGAAAAATTACAAAAAGCAGGAAGTGGAGTTTGGTCCATGTGAAACCCATGTGGGTTTGCTAACTGAGGCTTATTAAAGTTAGGCTCCTATCCTTCCACAGAGGCTAGGAGACAGCGGCCCAATCTTGAGTTGTTGGCCAGAACAAACAGTCAATTCTTTTGGCAGCCTTGCGTTTTCTGGGCAGACGCTTTAAGGGAATCTATGATCATACTAGGGATACGGCCTTGAGCTGTTAGAAACTATACTACTGTTTCATTCAAGTGTTTATAGGCCAAGGTTGAGGTCTAGTTGAGAAGAGGGCTCAGAAGAGCCTGGCTAGCGGTTGATCAGGGAGAGAATCTTTGTCACCCTCCACCATTCTGTGACCCAGGGGTTCTAGCCTGAGAGGTCCCAATGAGGAGAGAGCATAAGGTTCATAAAGGGCTGATGGACCTACTGTTGGAAATTTAGGCCCACATTGTAAAAAGTCTGGAAGAGCAGGCAAAGTGGCTGAACTTTAGTAGAAAATGAGGAGACAATGAAGGCTTTTAGGCAGACAAGTTGTCAGCCTAAACTGTGTTACATTATTTATCTGCCGTGAAACATTGTGAACTCCAGTCTTTATATCTGTTAATTAGGAAGACTAAAGCAACCTCCTGCTTTTTAAGATAACAGCTAAAAATCATTTATTTGGATTATTCCTAGAGGGGACTTTCTTGGGAGCAGCTGATTTCAATTTCCAAATATGGTGAAACCTGTGGTAAATTCTGCAGGAGAATTATTCTAAAACATTCTCTAAGAAAGTGTTTTCTTGAAGTACAGCTACATTTTGGGTGACTGCCAAGAAAAGAATGAAACAGGGTCATTAGGAATAATGTTTCAAAAAGTATGTCGCGTGCTATTCCTGGAACGCCATAGGACTTGTAGTGGAAGCAGGTTATATGAGAATTTAATAATCTCAGAGTTAATATATCTGGTAACATACTATTATAGTTGCACGTATTAGAGAAGTAACTAGAATTCACCCTCAGAATAGTCAGGTGGCAGAGTATGTAAGATGGAGACGTGGCAGCCCTGAGAGAGAGTAGAAGGAAAGCTGAACTGGGACTCCTGGGCCCTGGGCTCCAGCCCACTGTCCACCCCTTAGTAGCTCTGACCTTTCTCCAGTTATAAAGCTGAACCTAGCAATGTTGAGACTGCTGGGGGTACAACCAAATGGACTGGAGGGAAATAGAAAGGGGTGGGAGGTCACAAAGAAGGTCATATTAGAACCACACACAGGAAAACACATTCTCTGAAGGAAGAAGAAAAGAATTAGCCTCCACATGTCACTGAGGAGATGTGAGCTTTTATTGGCACAATAAAAAATTTCAATTAAGTAAAACATTTTTAATCCATGGAAATTCAATACTACCCAATTATTATGACAAGGAAATAATGTAAGAACAATGATAAACATTTTCAGGGACAGTAGAAGTTGGCAATTTTCATTGAAAAATAAATTACATTTTATTAGAATAATTTAAAAACTCATAAAAATATAAAGGGGACTTTGTGGTTAATATAATTGCTATTTCACAGTAACTTCAGACTATTGGGGTTTGTTTTGTTTCATCAGATGTTACCATTGATCTTGAAAACCCTATCCATTTTAGGATTGGGATCCTGTATCAAAATATACTGAAATCCTATTCTCTTCCTGGGACTTAATATTGATTTAAACCATCTCCTGGAGAGAAGACATATTAATGACATCTGCAGACATTTTAGAAGATTTAGCATTCTAAAATGGGACTTAATGGGATTATTTGTTCTTACTAAAGCATATGTAAGATTGACTAAGGTACCAAACAAATGCTTCAAATTTCATAGCAGGTACATTTCAGGAGCTGTGATGAGTGGTAAAGTGGGCACATGGGTAGCAAATATTCCTATGGCTGTACTACTGTTCTTGACAAGTGTGGGTAATTTAATTAAAAAACAGAGAAATGAAGTGATGATATCTTCAGTATTACTTAAAAACAAATCAACAAATATTGAGTCCTGGCTATGAGTCTGGCTGTTTGCCAGGTACCAGAGATACTGAATGAGACACACATATTCTCATCTCTGGAAACCTAATCCTAATTTTAATAAAACAACAATGATAATTCATTAAGCATCACTATGTGCTAATCACTTTACATATATTGTCTCACTTATTCTTCACAACAACCCCGTGAAATAGGTACTATTATTACTCACTTAACTGCTACAATCCTATTAGAATTTCATCTTCTTTAATCTGGAGCTCTTTGAATGGCAGTTCCTTTGCTGCAGCAATAAAAGAACTGTCTACACCTCACGCCTATTTCTTCATATAAACTGTGTTTTATTATAGAACTTGGTGCAAATGTGGAATTACTAGGCTATCTGTTGCCTCCCTCTCCGTGCTGTCCCATTTCTAAAGCCCAACAATCCCACAAAGATAAAATCATGACCTAAGTTCACACACTCAGAAGTCCTATCTTCCAGGCCTTGCTAGGAACTCCTTCCATCAACAGGTTCTCACTGAAGAGTTACCTCCACCCTGCTATGCATTAGCGAGGACTGTGATTCTCAAACTTCAGCTTCTATCAGTATCACTTGGAAGCTCGTTAAAATACACATTGCTGGGACCCAACCCCAGAATTGCTGATTCCTTAGACCTGGGATAGGACCAGAGAATTTGCATTTCTAACAAATTCCCAGGTGATGCTTATGCTGCCGCTGGAGACATGTCTTAGGTAGACTTGAGTTACGTAACTACTTACTAGTATTAAAGAACTAATATCTGATAGTGATCTACTTTGTTGAATAAAGTAGAGTGAAATCAAATTTCCCCTAAAACGTACATGCACACTTTCATTCAGGTATACTTTGTACAATGGGAAAGAAACGGATATTATCCTAGTCAGTATACCCACAACTCCTATGGGCAAAAGGACTTAAATTGTATTCTATACAGCTGAGCACTTTTCCTTACCCACAACCCATCCTGACTTGGCATTTGCAGGCTAGTGGATGTGAGATCCTAGGATCAGTCATCCCCAAGCAGGAATTCAAGGAACTAGGGTCTTCCTATGAAGTAGAGGCAAGCGTTAGACCATGGAAGATACCTTGAGAATGATCGGAAATGGATATCTGGATTCCCCTGCCCAAATTTTATCTTGAGCAAGTTATAATGTCTGAGTTGCAACACGGTCCTAAAGTCAGGCTTTTTTTTTTTTTTTTTTTTTGTAATATAGTGAAATGACTCCTACAGTTTAGACTGTCATTAGAACCTATAAATTGAGAGTAGTGCTCATTTGTACAAGTGAATTAGTACTCCTTAGGTAAGTCCCAAAGTAATTTTCAGCATTGTGTGTAAAGTAAAATTTGAACAGCTGCGTTTGGAAGATACTTCAGTCTGATCAGCCATCTGTTTTCCTGGATTTATTGATCTGCTGCTTGATAAGATTTTATATTTTTTAAGACAGACTTCTGATTTAAATTGATGCATATCACCTTACTTTGTACTTCCACAAAATATTGATTTTCTTTCTGCATGTTATCCCTAATTTCAGGTTTCCATTGTGATTTTAAAAGTCTATAAAACAAGTTCATAGTCACATTTGATGAATTCAAATTTGTAGATTAAACATCTCTCACTCAGTTTATATCCTTGGAGTGTCTTCCTGAGTTGATTTTGAGCCACAAAGAAAATTCAGATGGTTAAACAAAAACGAAAATAAAATCTTTTTTGTCGTTGCTTTTCTATGAAAATAGATGGCATATATCTATTGTTGTTGTTGCTTTCTCTCTTCTAAGATAATCACATCCACATTTGACTTAGGATAATTCAAGGTACGTAAGTAAAAGCAGTAGGAGGCAAACTCATCAATACATCTTCAAGTAGTTGAAATAAAATGTAACTAACAAAGTTTGTTTGTTTCCCTTGTTTTGCATAATTAATGAAAGCAGAGAGCATCTTTAGGCTCAAAAATAGTTATTAGATGGAGAAGGAAAATGTGGAATTAGGATGAAAAGGACAGAAATGGGGAAGATCAGGCAATATTTTATCACATAATGCATCAATAAATAGCTTAGTAAATTGAAGGTAAATGTATTGAGATAGTGTGATGCAACAAAAGCTGAAGGTTTAGATATTAAGAGGTGGTCTTTGATATTAGTCAGTAAGCCTCCTTATCACAGAAAATTACTGAAAATATTCATTGCTAAGTGACATGTATAGGAATGCTCTGGCCCCACTTACAATGAGGTATTTAGAAACAGTGGAGAAAGTTGAGAAAATGACCACCACAAAGAATTTTGGCATGGTATATGTGTGGGGTGGGGGGCAGGGAGTGACACTAACAACCATGAGAGATGATTCAAAGCATGAGGTGTCATTTATTCAGGGGGGGAAAAAAGGCATTAGGAGTCATTAGGTAATAAGTATCCAAGCATAGAGGAGGTTGCCACAAAATAGTGTATCTTCTGAATATTTAGTTGTTAGAAATAAAGAATTTTGTGATGGAGTAGGTAGTATTCAAATGGAATGAATCCATATGGAATATCTTTCAAATGTACTGAAATATTACAAATTGTCATCTAAATATAAGAGTTTAATTGAGATCCTTCTTTTGGCAAGAGTGTAAATTCAATCACTGTTGATGGCTCCCTTTCAGCAGAAAAAGATATATGAAAAGTTAGCCTGATTAGCATTAACCTGGATAGTGTGTGTGTGTATATATATATATATATATATATATATATATATATATATATATACTGACTTGCCAAAAAAATGTTTTTTGTTTTTGTTTTTTTCCTAGACTATCAATAAAGTACTGCTTCAGTATGCTGCAATTGTATCAAGTGATTTCAGTTCATATTGTCATAAGGAAAACGTGGTAAGTAAAAATGTCTCTACTTTCAAGTATTCCTCGGTTGAGACCCACTTATTCAAACCAATAAGTAAGCAAGAGAAATTGTTTTCTTTCTGTCTTCGTTCAGGATGATAGGAAATAGGGATCCCAAGAAATTGTTTGGAAACTTCTCTAGTAGTCCTGAACTGGTTATAATACAGAATTCAGGGGAAAGTTGAGAGCATCTCAGCACCAGCCAACTTGTAGTTTTCCATGATGATAAGTAACAAGCATCACATAAACAATGGAAAACCCACATAACTGTAAAACATTGGAGCTGAGAACTAGGAGTTAAAAAGTTATTTAGTATTGACACCAACTTGTGTAGTTTCGGCACCAGTACAAAATGAGTATAATTTGGTCTTTCAGTTTTCAAATAAAGTGAGAAGGATGGTTAATATAAGGAATGATGCTGATTTCTACTCTGAATTGTTAACTTAGCCTTTTACTTTTTGGATGATTGAGAAAACATTTATAAAATCCAAACCGGTATTGCAACTTAATCAACAAAAGGCACAAAGAGAAGCAAGATAAACTTGATCTCAGAAGGTGATTTGGAATATAATCAGTGTTATTTTATGGTGGAAGGTGAAAATCTTTCTTATTCACCATATGTAAGATTAGGAGAAATATGTTGGAAATATTATAAGAATTAAAGAAAAAGCACTGAAAAAAGATATTAAAAAAGTCAGTCCTAGATTTTTAAAGAGGAAAATCAGTTTTTTTCCCCTCAAAAAAGCAGTTCTCACTATCAGGCCATTCTAAAAGAGAATTCTCACTGAAATCTCGTTGACCTCTTGCTGACAGCTCATTAAGATGTCAGCCCTAATGATTCTTGAGGGTCCCAGAAGATGCTTCTTTCCCTTAAATTAATATGCTGCCCAGAAATTTTATTAAAATACCCAGATATAGTAGCAGTGATTTCTAATTGCCATTGATTATAAATACTGTAAAAGGCAAGATAGAATATTTATTTATTGAAAGCATATATTTATAATTAAAGGATAATACATTTGAAAAGTATTATATTGAAAATCAAAACAGTGCCTGATAATTTCAGAAAAGATTCTGATTTTATTAAAATAGCCAAATTGAAGATTTTGAAAAGTGGCTATGAATTTCCAAGGTTAATTCCTGTCACACAGAAAGGAAAATTAGCCTTAAAAGGTCCCTGCAAACTTCCACTTGATGTGTTAACATTCTATTGTATATTTTATTTAAAAAAAACAACTAAGGAAAAAAATCATAAATCATTGTTTATTGTACTATTCTCTGTATTTTTTCTGTATATTTTATAGTTTTCAAAATCAAATTTTTGTAAAGAAAATAAACCACCCTTGCAAATATTACAACACAGGAACTTGCTTTTGCTCTTTTCAACGCTTTTTTTCCCTCATTACTGATGTCTTAGGTAACATCAGTTTTAAACTCTCACTAAACGCCAAGTATCATTTTAGCTTTTCCATAAAGAATATCAGTTAGCCACTGACTTTATGCTTTCAGCTGAGACAAACTGAAGAAATGCTTTTGTACATTTGTGTGTGTATAACTACTGTTACAGATTTCTTCGAATATCAAGAACATTGAAACTTTTTATTGTTTTTTCTTTTCTCAGTATATATATGGCAATATACCTATTTCATCTGCAAATTGAGCTAGGAACTTTTAAAGAGAGACCATAACATTTGCTTTCCCAGATGTCAGAATTAAAGATTACGGTTATACAAAAAGCCTGTGGCAGAATGATTTTTTTTTCTACTGTTACATTTTAAATTGGAAATGGGTGAGAAGTTTTTTAATCCACTTTTCCTACATTCAAAATATAGCAAAGCAACATTACCTAAATCAGAATTACTTGATTTTAAATATTTTTTATAATCTTTTCAACTCAGAAACATACTTCAGTCATGTAGAAATGCTATAGTCTGAACAGAACTTTCATATTTGTTGTATTTTAGGTTTTTAACTTTGTTGCAGATTTACATGAAAGGCAATGCATTATGACATTTTTAGGGGAAAAGCCAAAATATACAAATAAAACAATTAGAACTTGACTTCAAACATAGGTTACTTCATCTATCTAAACTCATCAACAAATGATGTTTCTGAATTGAGTTTTAATGTTCCCTTTACTGTGGATGTTGTTGTTGTTTTGTTTCATTTACTATAGAGGTGTTTAAAGTAAAAGCTGTTTCCTGATTAAGGTAGGTGTGTGTAATTCAATTCTAAGTAGTGATTTGATAAACGGATTCAATAAAATTGAAATTTGAACATTTCAAGTTCAGGGAAAGCTTAATGAAAGAAGAAAGTCTCATTTATTTTTGTCTCTTTCTTGATAACCGCATATCTTTTTTCTATGTAGCCTTACCTAGGGTCAATAGCAATCCATGCCAAGTGAGCCCAGTGTCTAAGTTCATTTTTTTTCTTAGTAGGTCTTTTCCATCAGAAATGATCATATTAAGAAGGCTTGGAGATTGGTGTTTATTTATAAAGTGGGTACTAGAGTACTGTTATATGTGCCAAAACAGAGAAGCTTGAGTGTTAATATCAAATAATCATAGAAGAGTCTGCCCAGCTAACTTGGACCCATGGGGAGCAAAGTGATAAAACCTTTCACCCATGTAGTCTTCCTGCTTCTCATTAAGAGTTGTGGTCTTCCTTTGACCTTAGTTTTCTCCCTGGTAGGACTGACCAATTCAAGCCAAACGTTATCCCTCTGCAATGAAAAGAAAAAACTCAATGACCCTATTCCCTAATGGAAAAGTCTATTCGCTAGGTCGTTGATTTTAGGTCAAGATGCTGAATCCGCTCCAAGTCTGACCATAAGTGCTATGGAAAGGACTAAACCTAGACCAAGTGGTTCTCAATTACAGCAGGAAATCAGAATCGTTTGTGCAACATTGTGGTTCAGCTTACTGAACAGAATCTATGGGAGATAAATCTCAGATATCTGTGTTAAAAACATAAAATATTTAAGTGACTGGAATCAAGCGAACAAAATAGAAGTTTTAAATTGTTTTCATAAATCAAAGTTAGGAGGTGGTCACTTTAAGAGTCAAGTAGAAAGTTTTTCAAAGCTCAGTAATGTGGTTAAAACAATAATAAAATCTTTCCACTGATGAGTGCTAATGCCTCTCTGATGTCCTGTAAGTCCTTTGCTTGCCTCTCTCTGATTCCTTATTGGCCCATTTCCCAGCAACTTGGAAGATATATCCATTTTCCTTTCTTTTACTGTTTTCTTCCTCCTATCTACTGGCTCTTCAGAATTGGCATGCAGCAAATATCAAATTATTCTATAACTATTCTGAATTCCATTTTCCAATTATAAATTAATTTCTACTATTCTAAGGTCATATCTACTCCTGTCACAAAGCTTTACATCTTTTTGTTATTGTTATATTTCTGCTTCCTTGGAAACAATAAGTCAAGAAATATTTTTAAAGCATGTATTATATATAAGGCTCTGGGCAGGACTCTGTGAGTAAAAGAAAACAGAAACGACACGGCAGCACATACAGTGCATTTAAGGCTAGCTGGCGAGATGGCGAAAAGCAACTCTAAAGGTAAATAAAACAAATGTCAAGTGAGTGACAAAAGGTTACAGTTGGGGAAAGAGAAGGCTCTAACTTGAATGATGGATATGATTCAAATAGTCCAGGAGATTCAAGTGAAGAGGTCACATGCAACACCAAGTCACAGAGTCTGGAAAGCACAGGTGTTTGGTGGGAATAAGCCCCTTGGAGTTGAGAGTTAATCGTAATGCAGTAGATGGAGATGAGAAGGAAAACGTGCTGTAGAGCCAGATGAGTAAGGGCCTTGAATACCAACGCGTGGACTTTATCTGTAGTCATAGAGAATTCATTAAAGATGTTTGTTTTTATTTTTTGATTTTTAAATTTCAGATGGTGTTTTGGTTTTTAAAACAGTGAAATAGAAAAATTTAAACTAATCTGTTTTTCTTAAAATAAATCTTTAAAAACAGAATTTGGTTAAGTTTTAATTATAAAATGCCACAATGTTAAGAATAAAAGAAACATTAGTACTAAGTCTCCAATGGTTTATTGTCTGAGTATACTCTTAAATTTCATTCCCCAAGGTGGTCACATTTCCCCCTTTCCATTCTTAACTGTTAAAAAGTATAAACTTAAAGTAGCAAAATTATTCTATTTGCCAAATATAATAGGACTTCAGTGATAGCTGTATATTATTACATTTTAGGTAAACTCATTCAATAATTTAATGTATAAATGATTCTCACACTACTTTTTTTAAAATTGTTTTATTTAAAGCCCTGTATATTGATGAACAATATTCAACAATTGCGAGTCCAGCTGGAAAAAATGTTTGAATCTATGGGAGGAAAAGAGGTGGGTATGTTTTTATGCCTGCATTTGACAAGTATCTACTTAGAGATCATAGCAGCATATCTCTTTGCTATGGAATGTGTCATAAGTTTTGGCTTAGCTAAAGAACAGGAAATGATAATAATCTAAAATCCCATTAACAATTAAGGTGATTATTATCCACAACAGAATACTTTAGTAAATACATTAGAAGTGTGAATGAGAGGAGGGAGATGGTCAATAGCCTTTTGTAGTGTATATAAATATATATATAGTCATATATACACATTTAAATATGTATATGCTAATGATCTGTAAAGTTTCACAAATTGCAGATGCTTTTTGCTGTATTGTGCAATGTCAACCTGATACCGATGTTTGTTCTGAAATGTGCTTTGTGGCGCTAGTGGTTTTTGATGGTGGTTACTTGTTCACATGGAAAAATCTCTGTTGCAAATGTGTTGTGTGCTGTGTCTGTAATGTGTCGTGTCTTTGTCCAACATCTTTGACTTGCAATTCCATGAGCAGAAGAAGGAAGGAGAAAGATTCTTTTATGAGGTTTGTGATAGTAAGCATTTTATCCTTTCCCTGGCTGTTTTCCCCCTAAACCTAAAGACCATCGCACTTCCTCCTTATTCTCATTTGCTTGTTTGGATCAGGCAGACAGCGAAATACTAGCTGTGCACCTGCCCCCTCCTGTTGCCACAGTCTTTCCTTTCACAAACTGACATGAGCATCTGGGGAATTGAGGACTGGAGATGGGGCCGAGAGGGAAGGTCGTGCAACTGGTGTTCTCCCACCACCACCCCCTCCAGAGAACACGCCCAAGGGTGGCTCGAATGAGGGGATATTTCTGTTTAAGATTTTATTTACTTTGCTCCATATTGTGGTAAGTATATGAGCTATATATAAAGCTAGGTTGAATTTCAAAGCAAAGGTCCTTTTTATTTCTAAATTTATAAGACTGAAAATGCTTCTTTCAAGATTGGGCTTCTTCACATGTGATGTTGCTTTTAACCCCAGAGAGACATTTATACATTTTTCCCCCCAATGTCTTTTTCCTTATCCCCAAGCCTCAGTCTTTTCAAAAATGAACTTGCTATTCAGCATCCTACAATTGAGAATCACTAGGATACATGTGTGAAGGTGCAAAACTTCCACAATGAACTTTTATGAGCTGTGCTCCACTGCAATCTCAGTCTAATTTGTGTAAAATAAGGCTCCATTCCCCAAAGTGTGTTAGTACTTTTTGCACAGTTTGAGGGCATCCATCTCATTTTCAGGATTTTTCTGCTAAATTAAGTGAGAACAAGTAATTGCGGATCATAACTAGAGATTCTCTTTTTAATTTTAGTGATGTTTTATATTCAGACTTCAAGTCTACTTACTGTTTTAAAAAGTAGTGGAGAAATTACTGATTTCTTGTGGGAAATTCTATCTCCTTTTAGTGAATTTTGAAGACCACAAATCATTTAAGCATCAAGTTATATTTAAAATGCTATATTTCCAGAAATTTCTCCTAATGCTACTACTATTTCATTACTATCGTGTAATTGAACTCTAACGTGAGTGATATATTGCTGAGCTGAATATTAACCACACAAATCATACCTCTTCTTAAAAGAAACTGTGTGGGCCAAGCCACCCACTAACCAAAAAAGTAATGGGGTGGCTTGTTCGCCAATCAAAAATGGACTCCTTATTTCAAATAAAATGGCATGTTTGAAACATACAGGTTTCACATTATAAATTTAGTTGCAAATCTATGGCTACATCACAGAGCTCTTCCTCTTAATGGAGGTAGAAATACTGAGCTTGGTGCCTTTTCCCTTCTAACTCTTGCAATGTCATTTGCAAAACTCCTCGTAATTTAAAGGGAAAATTCAAATAAATAAAATGAACGTCTAGCTTTTACAATGTAATTTGTTAGAGACAGCATGGACCCGAGCTCCTTTCCTCTCCTACATTTAAATATTTCTCATCCCTTCCCTCCCTCTCTTTGCCCTCTTTCTGTGTTCTCCTGTCTTCTTTCCTACGCACAGTTTCCTTTCTCTTACTCTTTTCCATTTCCATCTCCTGTCTTCTATTGCTAAGAAAAAGCTTTAGGCAGGCCCAGTCAGCATAGGGATTGATGAAATGTCAGGAGGAAGCAAGACCTGAACCCAAGTCTGAATGTAACATGCAGCCTCCCAGATAGAAATAAGTTTTATTAATACAGAATTATGTTAAACATGCTGGTTGCTGCACTCAGCCTCCTCTAAGTACCAGAATCTCAAAATAATGGGCAGAGTCCTTCCAATCCTGTTATCTATGTATGGCAGTATCTAAATAGGTCCCTTAACTTGGGGCTTTTATAAAGTTGAAAAAGGATTTTATTGTGAATGACGGAATTCACCCTTTGATATGAAAAGTATATACAGCACTTAAAACAGGCATGTTCAATGGCCTTTAAAGGTAATATAATGTGTACTAATGCCAATTCCCAGTTTTTCCTCACAGTGGAACTGGTTATAAAACCTTGACTGGTATTGCTAAGGGAAACTTTCCAGCCTAGATCATATCCTTCTTTTAGGAGTTTCTCATCATTTTGTCCCCCACCATCTGTGTTAGGATGTGCACTTCTTGCTACAAAAATCTAATTAGCAAATGATTGCTTGTGCACTTGCTCAAAATAGTTTTTAATGCCATGTTTTTATTAGCTGGCTTCTAACAACAGCATTGCTGGACTCTAATACTGTCTGCAAAGTGCTGGCCACTTGCAGGCCTGGTTGCATGATGCTGCAGCTCTCTGCTGCCTTAACCCAACTACATTGGGGCAGCTGCTCTGTCTTGGCAAGATCACTCTCTTTCCCCTCTGGAAACAGAAAGACTGTTTAAAATCTTTTTTTGGTGGGAAAATTCCTTCTCTGCATGGAGTCCAAGATGGAAACGTTGCCTAACATAATGACAGTCTTGGGATGATGCTATTGATAATGGTTCCCAAAGCAGTCACACGAGCAATCACTGTTAACAACTGCGCAATATCCTGTGGGCCATGCAGGCACCTTCTTTTCCAGTGCTTTATTTAGAAAAAAAAAATTAAAAGAGAAAAGCACAAAATTTCTTCTCCTGTAACGCCACTTTCCAACTCAATTCTCTTGATACAAATTAAGAGCATGTTTTGATGTAACAACTCTGTGATTACTCTAGAGAATATTAAAAAAAATAAGTCACACAAAAACTATAAAGAAAAAGTGACCTTTAGGAATCAGGCACGGAGTCTGTTCTTTAAAAAGCATACCAGGTGATTTCTTATGTGCATATAGTTTTGGGAATCACTATACTCAGATAAAATAGCCAACCCATGGTATGGACTGATTTGAGCTACAAGTTAAATTATTTACACCACAATCTTCGTGCTATAGTACCTACCTATTATAACACAATAACAGAAAAATGATTATCAGGGTGCCAGGTAATAATTCTCATTCAATGGTGAGTAATTGTTTTATTAGCCTATAAAAGTTCAAATAGCTCAAAAGTAAAACATATACAGTCATGTGTCACCTAACAATGAAGATACCTTCTGAGAATGCGTTAGGTGATTTCCTCATTGTGCAGACATCATTGAGTACTTACACAAACCCAAATGGTATAGCCTACCACACACCTAGGCTATGTGATACTTATCTTATGGGACCACTGTGGTATATGTGGTCCATCGTTGACTGAAACGTCATTGTGTGGTGCATGACTGTATTTTGGTTTATATTATTTTAGTAGCTTAATTATTTCATGAGTATAACTCAGTACCTACCAATTGCAAATAAATACCTAGCTTTTATTCAATTTTTTATAAACATATTGCTATAGCCTACAGAAAGGACTTAGTTTCATTTCCTTGTTCTGCAATCTAATTTGTATGAGTACATGAAAAAGAAAATCATATAACCCAAAATTTAATTTCTTTTCAGGAAGTCATAAGATATTGGTTATGAAACTCTACAGAACTTGTAGTAATTGATTTAGAGGAATTATGACTGTGCTGTGTAAGCGGAAGATGCATTACTCCTTCACAATATTGTATTGGTACAATTGCCATGAACGGTAGAATCCATAATTATCCATAGGCCTGCTAACCTATTGACAGTACTTCAAATTCTAGAAATTAGGCATTATTAACACATTTAGGGGAAATGGGAGAGGCCAGTTTTTTGCTTGGCTAAATTCTCTCATTCTGCTGACCACAAAGCAGACCAATTAGATACAATGGTAATGTTATTTTTATTGATATGTCTCTGAAAGGATTGAATCTCCTGACTCAATTCATTGTGATAAACTTTCCTGAACAGGGCCAAGGAATATGGAACATAACCCTAGCCATCCAAAAATGTGTATATTTTAATGAGCAACTTAATTATTCTTTAGTTTCAGAGATGCATATTTATGTCACTTTTCATTTTTTAATGATGAATTTGATGTGTCAATTAGAAACTGCATCTAACTACCCAAAAGCATATACATGCAGCTGATTGAAATTCATTGTAAAATCTCTTAGCCATATGGACTCAGTCTTCAGCTAAGCAACCCCTGACCAGAGAGGAGAGAAATTAACTTCTGTTGTTACTTTTTTTTACTTAGCACCATCCTTTCAACATTGTACTGTGTGGGCAACAGGGAACTGAAGATCGCTACTTTAAAGGGAGTAATACTCCATGCCCGTAGTTCTTGAACTTTACACACATCAGAACTACCTGGAGAGCTTATTAAAAAGCACATTGCTGAATTCCATCCCCAGAATATTTGATTCAGTAGGTCTGGGGTGGAGCCTGATGATTTGCTTTTCTAACCAATTCCCAGGTGACAGTGATGGAGATATATTTTGAGAATTACCACTCTTTGCTTTTATTTATTTTTTTTTTGTGAGGAAGATCGGCCCTGAGCTAACATCTGCCAATCCTCCTTTTTTTTTTTTCTTTTTTCCTGAGGAAGAGTGGCCCTGGGCTAACATCCATGCCCATTTTCCTCCACTTTATATGGGACGC